CCCAAAACAAAAATGTCAGCATGAGTGACTACTACAAGAATAAGTAAGCTTTTCACCAGGAAGCCATCAAGGCAAACAATTAAGTTCCTTCAGGACAAATTCCCCTCTAAGACTGAAACTCAAAGGAAACACACAAAAAGGCCAGTAAGCTTGCTGGCAACCACACTGGTCTACTGGTGAGTGGAAGAGGGGGAAAGGCAGTAATGAAGAAATGGGCTGAGTTCAACCACAGTCCATTGACACCTGTTGACCTGGAGATGAAAGAGAGAAGAGGAAGGGCTGGTTGGTCCAAAGTGTGGCGAGACCTGAGAACACTTGAGCTCATGGACAAGGACATAGCCACAGAGGGAAAGAGCTGAGAGTGAAGTGTCCAGCTGATATGAAGTGAGGGGAGATGCACAAGAGCATGCAAACTTGCAGACAGTACCCATTTGACCTAGCCTTGATGGATTGATGATCAGAACTCAACTAGAGGAAAATTACACACACACAAAATTTTTTTTTTTTTTTTTGATAAAGGAAACAAGGAGTAAATTGCTATAATTTGATGAACCTGACTTATACTTATGGCGGTAGTAACTCTAAATACCAAAAGATAGGGAAGGAGTCTTCACATCAAGTATCAATGCTATCTCCTCTGTACACAAGGTAGATAGGGACGGGCATCTTAGACACTGGCTACCTAAAATGAGGGGTGGTGGTGTTAAAGGCATGGAGTGACTGGCTTACAAGATTTCAATAGGGAATTTTGTTTAAGAGTATGGGGGGAAATAAAGCATCCCTACTGAATAGTTTTTATCTTGTCTAGATGGGTCTGGTGAAAAGAGATGGGGATAAGATTCGTATGATTTAATAGTGAATAATTGTTATCTGGTAGCGTAGTGGTTACGAATCGGGCTGCTAACCTCAAGGTTGGCAGTTCGAAACTACCAGCTGTTCCACTGGAGAAAGATGAGGCTTACTGCTCCTGTAAAGATTTGCAGCCTCCGAAACCCTGTGTAGGGTCATTATGAGTAGGAACCGACTCCACGGTGCTTAACAACAACA